TTTTAACAGTCAGACGGAAGAGGTTCGGTTAATGATGATGGCGATGAGAGATGTGCGTATTTGGATTTAGGTAAGTTGTATATATATGTATATATATATATATATATATATATATGCAACACTTCATCTCATCTCATCTCATCTCATCTCATCTCATCTCATCTCATCTCCAGCATCCTCAACCCAGTGAATTCAGAACAGAACCGCTGCAAATATGAATAATAATAAAATCTTCATCTCCCCAAAGTGGACTACTTGCTCCCCCGCTTGGTTCCCCAACAACGCCATCTCGCCTCTTCACATTCCCAAGAAAGTGTTGTCAGATGTAGCAGCAAAGGAGCGGTTTCGGAAACAGGGTAACAAGATAAATCGAAAACTAGCCCTTCACAAACCCTCCATATGTTTCTCCCTCCACTTACTTACCCACCCCCCCTATCCCTCGTTTTCCACCCCAGTCCATGCACCACCGCTTGAACCCATCTCTCTACGTATATGTACAAAAAAACCGAACCAACATCAAAAACCAAGTGAAAAAGAGCAAGAAGGAAAATAAAATAAAATAAAATAAAAATATTGATGCGAAGACCCCAAGGAGCAAACTGTCAAAACCCACTTTGGAGGAGGAAAAAAAACCCACGAACCATTCCATTCGTTGAGGAAACAGAAAAGAACTCCAAAGCACCATCCCCCCGCTCCCCTCCCCCCCTCCCAAGACCAAAACCGAACCAAAGACAAAGCCCAAAGCCCAGTATTGGATACCCCTCTCCTAACATCCCGTGACGCCTCCACCCCAGTTCCTTCTCATCAATCGTGTTGAATCTACTCAGCAGCAGCAGCAGCAACAGCGTTTGCTTTCGGAACGAACTTGATCTTCGTCTGCTTGAGCTTCACTGCCGCAGTCGTCGTGGTCGTCGTGGTGACCTTCGCCTTCACGTCTGAAGAAGCAGACGTGCCCTTGACAGAGGTGTTACCCGCGTCGGGGGTGCTGGCTTCAAGCGCCTTCCTCGATGGCGTGCGCTTCCTCGCCGAGGCGGCCGAAGCCGAAGCCGAAGCCGGAGTCGACGCCTTCGCGCCCGCAGCCGGTTTCTTGGGGGTAGGCTTCGGACCAGCAGCCACGATGGTGGCCTTGCTGCTCGTGCTCTTGGCCGAGAGCTTGATCTTCGTCGTGGTCGTGGTCGTGGTCTTGACGCCTCTCTTCCCAAACGTCTTGGTCAGACCCACGCTCGTCACCTTTCGCTGAGTTGTCGTGGTCGTCTTCTTCACCCCGGCTCCCTTGGTGGACTTGAGCGCGCTCGCCCCGAGAGAGATTGTGCCCGAAACGCTCCTTTTGATAGCCGTAGAAGCCGACTTGGAAACGCCCCTGGCAAGACCTTTTCCTTTGGCAGCCGCGGTCTTTGCAGCGCCTTTGGCGGCGGCCGTGAGAGTTTTCTTCACCCCGGCCGCAGGTTGGACCTTGCGTTTCTTAGCAGCGTTCCCGCCGCTCGCCTCATCCTCGGCTCCGACCAAAAGCTCCTTGAGCTTCCGCTTGCCGGCCTTGATCGAGCCTCTGGCCGTCTTCTTCTCCTGCTTCGCCGGCTTTGGCGGCTTGACCTCCTTCGGCTTGGGACCCAGCACGCCTCTGCAGTTCGCGCTACCACACAGGCACTTCTGCACGTTCTTGGCGGAGAAGGGGTCAAAGTTGTAGTCGTACGTG